TATAGAATGGTTAATAAGAATGTAACGTTTAGTATAGAACGGTTAATAAGAACGTAATTTTACCTAGCATCTAAAACATGAGAAAACTAATTTTTTTCTTGGTTACTGTCCTGGTTTCAGCTGGGATGGAGTTAATTTTCTTCCTAGTAGCTGGTATAGTGCTGTGTTTTGGATTTAGTGTGAGAATAATGTTGATAACACACTGGTGATAACACACTTAGTTGTTGCTAAGTAGTGCTTACACTAATCAAGGACTTTTCAGCTTCCCATGCTTTGCCAGGTGCACAAGAAGCTGGGAGGGGGCACAGCCAGGGCAGCTGACCCAAACTGGCCAAAGGGGTATTCCATACCATAAGATGTCATGCTCAGTATATAAACTGGAGGGAGTTGTCCGGGGGGCTGTGATCGCTGCTCCGGCACTGGCTGGGCATCGGGTGGTGAGCAATTGCATTGTGCATCACTTGCTTTATATATTCTTTTTATTATTATTATTACTACTACTATTTTACTTTATTTTATTTCAATTATTAAACTGTTCTTATCTCAACCCACGAGTTTTCTCACTTTTACTCTCCTGATTCTCTCCCCCATCCCACCGGAGGTGGGGGGAGTGAATGAGCTGCTGTGTGGTGTTTAGTTGCTGGCTAGGGTTAAACCACAACAGTTAGTAGTAGTTTGTATTTGATGGAACATATCTAAAATTTCCAGAGTATTAAAAATACTTATGAAGCCTGTACACACACATACAGGCATAGATATGCATGTAAGTAAACATATAAGCTGCACAGAAGTTTGTAAACAGAGACATGATTGGCTGTAGGTAGCAGGTAGTACTTGCTGAAGTTGATTACAAAGCATGTATTAGGCATCAGCAGGGAAACAGGCTGGGATTTGAAGAGGAAGGAAGATACCACACAAAAGAAGCATTGCATACTGCTTTGATCCATTCATACTACAGTCTAGCTTCATTTCTTATAATGATGGCTGAGTGAAAGCCTTAGAAAGAATTTAGATCGTTCTTAGAAGAAAAAGAATAGATACTCACTGCTTTCCTTTCATTGCTTCTTGTTTGCTACACATTTCTTACAGCAGTGCAACTCTGTAAGATACATTGGTATAGGCTCTGATGATCGTGTCATCAAATGCATATTGTTTTAGTGACAGCAGTTCTGAAGGTTGAGATAATGGGTTAAGATATGGCATGTTAATGTTTTGCATGTTATTATCAGATGTTGTACTTCTTTGGATTGATAACTATTTGTTAAGTTACAATGTGAACTAATGGCAAATTTACCAAGTGTGATTCCTCAGTAGTGCACATGATTACCCATTTCTCTCTCTTTAGCTGTTATGCCAGTCTATTATGTTCTAGAGCAGCTGTTATGGTCTAGTTACTTCCTTGGAATTGTGCTGTTATCTCTTGTTGATGACAGCAACAAGGAAAACATTTTTTCTGATAATGCACAGAAATATTCTAAAGAGGTAAGAACTGGAAATGATTCAGTACCACTTCAGAGAGAAAAATTATAGATTCAGCCACTTACTATAACTGTTCTGAAGGACGTGCATAAAAAATAGTGAGTGAGTATGTGCATGTGGGCTCAAAACCAGTTACGGTTCAAGAAAATTTGCATACTTTTAAGGATTTTAGTTGAAACACTGGAACTTTCCAACTTTCAAGAGAGAAAATACTCCTAGTTTTTACAGGAATTTTTCTGTGATTATTAAGAAAATAAATTTGATTTGGGTGAAAGCAAAATATTTTTGGATGCTTTGGGAGAAAAGTCAGGTAAATTACATATTCTGAAGCTTTGTTTCATGTATAATCAAACAGGGTTTAGGCTAATGTGACTGGAAAGGCCAATGAAAAGTGTAATGCTTAAGAAAAGCTGCTCAGCAGAATGCTTAATTTTCCACATAGATTTTCCTGGTCTTGTATTTTTCAGAATGAATTATAATCACCAAGATAAAGGGACTGTTTGACTCATTAGAATGGCTAGAAATCTTTTTTTCTGTTGGTAGCACCTCAGCCACCTTCTTGAAAGACCTTACACTGTGGTAGCGATAGTAGTGAACATTCCTGGTTCTTTCTGCTAGTTTTGGTCACAGGATACTTAATTACACATACTGCAAACACTCAAGAATTACAGCAACAAATAATGGTATGCAACTGGAAGCCAACAAGCAGTTTGTCTCTAGCAAAGGAAGGGTGAAGAGGGTGAAAAGTAAAGAAACTAATTGAGGGAGGAGGACCTCAGAAAACAAATAGCGATGAGGTCACTAGAAAGTGGATACATCCATATTATCACATAAACAGAATATAGTGTGAAATAGAAGCTTAGAAGCTTTTGCAATATACCAGTGCCAAGAGATACAAACAACAGTCCAAACAACTTAACTGTTGATTATGGGAAGATATCCATCAGCTTCTGATGAGGCTTTAAATCTCCTTCAGAGTGAGTGCATCTGAATTAAAATCGGTTGGAAACAGTGACAGCCAACAAATACTTCTTTGGTCCAATGCAATACAGAACAGGTCTGGAGCACAAATTCTTACAAATAGATATTCCTGAACCATCATGAATTCTTACTTCATGGCAGCGTGTAAAGACTCAAGGAAGTGTTTTCCCATGCTAATAAGCAGTTGTTTAGCTGCCAGGTCTCTATAAGATGAAAGGGACAAAATCCCAAGGCCTTTATTTTGTTGTTACTCAGTTCAGCTGACAATGAAGCAACCTCAGTCAGACATGTTCATCCCATCCTTCTTCTGACACATTCAGACTGAAAAACAGTAAGCCAGGAACAGTACCTGCAAAAACAATCCAAGCTCACCCCAAGGTCTGCCATGGAGTTTACACGGGAGAGTGGTAGGAGGCAATATCCTGTCTTTAACCACAGGGACATTTTAAATTATTCCTGTACAAATCTGCTTGCATCTCATAGTCACAGCACTTGCTTTTTCTTAACACAGCCACCCTCGAAGGCCCCAGTTTATAGTGAGTGAATCAATAGCAAACATAAGCGTCATCTGATTGTGTTTTCATGCCAAATTGTTGAGACCTGGATAAAAGCAAGCAAGACCTAAGTTATAGAATTGAGCTCAGAGACCTTCAGAGAGAAGAAATTGCCTGAGGTAAGAGTTCCTTTAGGAACTTTATCACTTGCAGGTTTACATGTAATTAATTGCATCCCCTTTTTTATTTCAGCACAATTAATAACACAGATTGTCTCCTTTACATCAGCAATTTCCAAATGTTCTCCATAGTGTGACCTATGCTAGAGATTCATCTCTTTTCTCAGTCTTTCCTCCACATGCTAATCCTTTCCTGCCCATTTCCTCAAAGGCCAAATGATGCTACAGCCTGTTAATTAAGAAGCTTGCTGAAGCAGAGAAGTATTGCAAATTTGTTTAAGCTAAACATGAGCTTGGCCCATAGTGGTATTTCACCATTTCTGTTGCTATCCGAAGGGAGGAAGAAAGCTGCCAGCAGCCCTTTCTTAGGGGATCTTGTTGTTACAGGTGGGATGTACCTAAAGTAGAAACACTAGCCTCTTCCCACAGGGCCCTGTAGAAGAGCATCTAAGATAAACAGTACCTGTTCAGATAATCTGTCTGGTTTTATGTTTTCTAGAGCTTGAGAACATATGGGAACAGGTAACATCTGGTCTACTACAATACCAGTCCTACTTGGCTAAGGCATCCAGCCTTTAACACATTATCTGTCAGTTGCTGGCCTTAATAGCTGTAGGGACTGTGGGTGAAGACTGTGTCTCTTATGTTAATACAAAGCTATGCACAATGGGGCTTTTAGATATATTAATATAATTTAGATAATTAACAACAGTAGTACAGGAGTGAGCAGATCTGTTGTAACAATGCTCTTGTCTCCCTTCCACACAGTAGCAGAGCACTCTTGTAGGCTGTGGCTGCAGGCAGAGGCAGCTGTGGGGGTGTTGCTGAGTACACTAAGCTGTGTGCTCCTGTGCTCATCCTGCTTTAGTATTCCCTCCTTTCTTGAACATTTAAATGGTTTGTTGCATGCTTAACTTTAAGCACAAAGTGCCATTGAAGATGATAGCCCTCTTACTAGTTTTTTGTCTGCTTCCATAAGATCAGGATTTCACCCAATGGGACTATGTTTAAGCTTTATTTTGTTCAGGCCCAGTAACCATTTTAAGATTTCATTTACACATTTTGCTTGAACCTATTTCTGCAAGTTGATGAACACCCAGAAAATGAGGTTTTCTTTGGGCATTTGGGGAAAAAAAAAAAGCAACCAAATATTGCCACATGCTCAAGGAAAGAAACTTTGAATGAGCAACTAAATGTAGTTGCCCTGGAAAGCTGAATTTTGTAGTTGCATTCAGCCAGCCAGGCAATGGAAATATTTCATTTCATCAAAGCATCAAATGTTACCTGCCCAAAGTTATGTTGCATTAGTTTAGTATCAAATTGCCTATTAGAGTTAATCAATAACAGTCAGAGGAAACTGATTTGTCTACAAAGAACCTGCAAACTAAAAAAGAAACAAATTCAAGTTATGTATAAGAATTCTTTTGATTAAACAGTTTAAGTGAGAATGTGTAACATTTTAAGGGGCATTTTAAAAATTTAGGGAAAATACCGTAAAAATATCATGTGAAAGTAAACAGAGGAGCTGGTAAAACCTGTTAACCCTTTTACTTTTGCTGGAAAACTGAGAACATTTTTGAAGGTATTTTTAATATAAAAATAGGTACTACTTTTCTTTAGTAGGACGATGTCTTTCAGCAGTGGTTGCTTTGTACAAGTGTACAACTATGCATACAATAAAACACCACCATCTCAACTCTAATCCTGTCTTGGAGCAAGTGGAGGTTTTTGGCAACTTCCTGCTCTGCTTGTCTATGTCTTATTGAAGGATCAGTTGTTTCGTGTTTTGGTACCCAAAAGACAATAGTTTGAATAGGTCACATGCATTATAAACAGCCTGATGTACACACAGATTAAAGTAGGCAACTGCTTATAAATCATGCAGTTTATTAAGGAGACTGAATTCATAGGTAATTAAAAAAAAACACAAATACAAGTTAATCAGAGATACAGTGCTCATAGTTATAGGCCTTCTTCCACCATGTAAATTAACATCAATGAGGATTAAAATGCAAAAATTAAAGAGAAGTAGTTAAAAAATATCTACAAATCAAGATCTTGGACTAAATGTGTAATTTCCTCTTTTTCCCTAGCTCTCCAATGATTCTTCCAAGTAATATAGATCTACTCATATGCATGTGGATACTTGTTAAATCTTCAAATGAGTCTTTCTTCTTCAGAACTGTCGACCTCTGAATATGAGAAAATATCCCTGAAAAGTGACATGAAAATGCATATAAGTAATCAATTTCCAAACAGCAAAGAGCAGCTGAATACTCAGTTTCCCACACCCATGTTTCCTCCATCTTTTGCTGCTACTGGTCCCCATTTTGTCAGCATTGCCGCCAGACCTCTTGTTTTGGCAATAGCCATATCCCTCCATTTGCAAGTTGCCTTTCAGTGACAAGTTACTTTGATCTTTTCCCAGCGTGAACCTTTTCCTTCAGTCTTCCTATAAAACTCTTCCACTTGTAATTAGCAGAGTCAAAGCACTCGAGTCTGCTCACAGTCTTACTGACTCACCAGCTGGTCATCAACCTCCTTGCACAGTGGATGAGATCTCTCATAGAATCATCAAGGTTGGAAAAGACCTCTAAGAACATCGAGTCCAACCATCAACCCAACACCACCATGCCCACTAAACGATGCTCTTAAGCGCCTCATCTACACGTCTTTTAAATACCTCCAGGGATGGTGACTCAACCACTTCCCTGGGCAGCCTGTTCCAAAGCCTGACCACTCTTTCAGTAAAGAAATTTTTCCTAATGTCCAATCTAAACCTCCCCTGGTGCAACTTGAGGCCATTTCCTCTTGTCCTATCGCTAGTTACTTGTCAGAAGAGACCAACCCCCACCTCGCTACATCTCCTTCTAGGTAGTCATAGGGCTCAATAAGGTCTCCCCTCAGCCTCCTCTTCTCCAGGCTAAACAGCCCCCGTTCCCTCAGCCGCTCCTCATCAGACTTGTGCTCCAGGCCCTTCACCAGCTTCGTTGCCCTTCTCTGGACACGCTCCAGCACCTCAATGTCCTTCTTGTAGTGAGGGGCCCAAAACTGAACACAGGATTCGAGGTGCGGCCTCACCAGGGCCGAGTACAGGGGCACCATCACCTCCCTCCTCCTGCTGGCCACACTATTTCTGATACAGGCCAGGATGCCATTGGCCTTCTTGGCCACCTGGGCACACTGCCAGCTCATGTTCAGCCAGCTGTCAACCAGCACCCCCAGGTCCTTTTCCTCTGGGCAGCTTTCCAGCCACTCTTCCCCAAGCCTGTAGTGTTGCATGTTACTCATGTACATGCACGTTACGTCACACTGTTTAGTAGCACATTTGTTATTTCCTTGAGGAACTATGGGGCATTTTCTTTGCAATGATCTCCAAAAGCCAGCAGATTGGCTTTATTTCTTTTAGACCCATTTGTTTTCTGAAAAAGTAACTGGTTAACACATTATCTGTTTATTTACCAGACCTCAAAAGCATAATACAGCAGCATTTGCCCCACTACCCTCCCTGGCACCTTGCAGCCCAGCAGAGTTGGGACAGCAGGTTGTGCCTGTCCTGGGCAGTTGGGCCAGGTGCAAGGGCTGATCTGAGCCCAGTTACCTGCACCTGTGAGGGAGGTGTGCACAGCTGTGGCTACTCTGAGTGACGAGGTAGCAGGGGACTGCTGGGTGAGGAGAAAAGAGGCAGAAAAGAGATAGAGAAGGTTTTGTGTTTGTATTCTTCAAATGTTTATACTGGGGATGTGCTATGTGGCTTCTTGAGGAGGGTCTTCTTGTACAGCTGCTCTTCAGGAAGATCTGCTGTGAGTACAGAAGCTATGTTTTCCTTGTGGTTCTTAAGTCGTATTTTGGCTCATTGTGAGTTGTTGCAACTATAATGTATCTAACTCCAGTATTGTAAGATACTGGAAATGTTTTTATGAAACCTGCTTTTTCATAGTGTTTGTCTTTTGTTAGGGGAAAGGGATGAGTTACTAAAGATACTTTGGCCAGGTAACTGTAAAGGACTCAGTTGTCTTAGTTTAAAGCTGACTAACACTTTGCTGCAGGATATCTAGGGAAGTTGTAATGCTGCTGGCTTAAGTAGGATGTTAGCTGGATGGAGGCAGTTTGTTAGATAACTCATATACAGCTGTTCTGATTTTATTGTGTTTTTCATGGATTGTGTAGAGTTTGAAGAGTATCTTCAGACCTATTAGTTACTACAGCTAGGAACCTGGCAGGACTGGATTGGTTCAGAAAACAGTGTTTGAGCCCGTAAGTCTGGACCTGGGCTACTTCTACCACTGTCTTGGTGTACACTCAGACTTTTTTCCCAGGAGGGCAAAGTATGGGGAACTGTGGAAGTGCTTTGTAGGTGTGACAGAGTAGTTCTGTTCAGTACTAGTGACAAGCTTTACAATCTTCACTAGGTTTTTTGCCTTGGAGGATTTTTCTGTTTTTTCTTAGAAAAGCTCAATTCTTGATACTCAATTTTCACAATGACCTCATGGGATTTATCCTTTAGTTCTGAAATCCGACACTAGCATAATAACATCAGCATTTCTGTGCCTAGTTCAGAACTCCGTCTTGCTTTTCCAATTCAATGATATGTTTAAGGAACTACAGTGAATGCAGCTTACAGGTTGCTCCTGATTTATGATCCTGTTTGCAATTTAAAAAAAAATGAAAATGTGAATATTTAAGAGGAATAAGATTAAAAACTTCAGTATGGAGCAATAAAGATGTTATCAACAGTTGCAAAAGTAACAGTATAAAGCGAAAAATCTTGCTTCATTTTTTGACTTCTAAAACAAGCCTACTGAAAGCTGTTCATACCCGCCCATGTAGATGTGGAGTAAAGTACACAAGGTCATTCAAATGAGTTAGTGCTGCTCTTTAGGCTAAGAAAACAGGCTTGTACATCTCTTTACACATAAGAAGTGGTAATTCTATTCCTCATCATTTGCTAGGATGAGATTTCTATCTGCAATTATTAACAATTGATTTCTGCTTTCACTGACGAAATAAGGCAGTAGGGTCAAGGGTTAAAAAGATTAAAACAGCTGGCTTTGTTAAGAAACCAGGAGACTTGGATGAGAGGTTAGATAGCTCCTCCAAAAAATAAAACTTAGGCTGTCACTGCTATAAGCTGCCTGCTACTGACCAATGTTAATCAATTGTATAGAGAAACCAGATTAACTGATTGCAATTCACAGAAAAAAAGAGGTAAAAGAATAGAGAAGGGGAGGAATCCTTGTTTGTCTTCAAGTGTGAATACTTAATAGTGTCTTAAAATCTCTCTGAATAGGAGTAAACAAATGTCAGTATTAATCACAAAACCCATAATTTGATTCTTCAAAATACATCAGACTGTTACTCTTAATCTTGACTGGAACAAAAGTTCTTTGTGTAGGAAAATCACAGTGTGATATATATATATGAAGAGCCAGATGTAAACGAAAGGCTAAGGGGGAATTTAGACAGTGACATTCAAAGCTGCAATCCTGAAAACAAAAATTCACCTGGTGCTTAGCCTGATGGGCATCTCAGTTTTTTATAGTACTACTGCCTCATGTGTCTAAAGCTGCATTCCGTTTGCACCCAAAAGCGCATCAGTCTGGTCAGGACTGAGCAACTTGTTCCCTTTGTGATGTCTAAGGCCACTTGGGAACCAGAAAGGTGTTCTGTGCTGCCTGCTATCAGCATATCTCAACACAGCAAAGATCTTCTCAGAGCTATGTGATAGCTCAGATTCTTTGCAGAGCAGGATAGGATCCACTCCTTGCTTTCAGAATGCAGATAGTGGTTGTTTGGCTCAGAGTTCAGAAACTGGCCCTGTGTATGTGAGGAGTTCTTCAGTCTGAAGGGATTCGTTCAAACACAACTCCTATCTCCTAGCTTAATGGCTAGGATACTTTCTGTAGGTCATGGGGGTGAGGACCTCTTGATCCCTCCTATCTCAAATCCTATCTTTCAATACACAAAACACTTTAAGGTTTGTGGGCAAGAGCTGGACTGTCCAGTGATATAGTGTCCCTGGGGTGGAAGAATCCTGAGTTCAAGTCCCTTTTTTAGAGACACTCTAATGGGTAACTGCCCAGGGAGGTTCTTTATTATTCCATGGACATTCCCCCCAAACATCTTAATAACTAAGACACTGATCTAGGAAGTCTAAGGGTCTGAATCTATTCAAGTGGAAAGGCAGTTCTGCCTTCTCTCTGTGGGCCCTATGCGCTACCCTGTTGTTGATGGCAGCAGCACTTCTACCCTTCCATCAAATTATAGCACCTGCCCCTTTCTGAAAGTGGACATTCTCAAGGGAAGGATGCATCTGTTGGTAGCAGGATCGGAACTGAAGCCTTGGAAGGGACTAGATTTAGGAAAAGTTATGCTGTATATTCCTGC